ATATAATAATAATAAAGCCCCTTGGCCACCAGTTTATGTATCAACATAAATTATAAAAGACAAAGAATTGGAAAGGAAAATTTAAAATAAACTATAAGTGAAAAGATAAAGATGTGAAATTACACATATTAAAAAAACAAGTTTCAAAAGATTTCTACAAAGAGTTAAAAGGTATGTATATGTTTCCATTTCTAAATTCTAAACATTTCATATAGTAGAGAAAATGTAAAATAAAATATAAACATTTACATTGATACTGATTTAGGTGGTTCTAGAGATTATACAAAGGAAATGTGAAAACTGTAAGATAAATAGTATTTTTATACTTCAAATAAAAATCACCTTGCAAGTGAACTATTAAAAATCCAAGTACAAATAACTACATTAAATAATGAACTTGTTTCATTAGAAATAGCAGAAAAAATAAAACTAAACATTCTATTTTTCTGAAGCTACATACTTTTAGGAATGTTCTTGTCAAATTTTAAACAATTTCATCAACTAGTTTTATTTTTGGAATGAAATATGACAAGAGCTATGTTACCTTCTGAGAATATTAGATGCTGAAAGCCATAGGGTTAGCAACTAATTCTGGGTGTTGTTTACTTGTTATTCACATGTTAAATTTGAATAGTGTAACAGCTATAATGTTAAATCTTCAACTTTTGGTTTTATATCAAAATCGTACATTATTAGTTTAAAAAGAATATTTAATTTTTTGAATTACTGTTTGCATATAAAACAATAATATTTTATTAAAGTAACTAACCTGCTTTGTTTTTATGTAAATATCACCTAATCTGACCAAAACTGAATGCTGGTTATTCAAATGGTGGCCACAGTATACGACTCTTTCATACCACTGCTGGGCTTCTGTATAGTCTTTCTTTATGTACAAAACATGTCCTTTCCATACCCAAGTATCCAGATTCTGTTTATAAAAATTGAAGGTTTGTAGTTAATGGTATTGTGTGTTACTTGAATAACGTAATTGACTTACAAACTACACAACTATGTATTTTTATGCTAAATGAAAATATTAAATGACTAAATAAATATGAATTTACTCAAATACATATAAGGTTAATATTAATATTTTAAGGCCATTTTTGTGTATTTTGTTTCACTGAGTAGCCTTAAAGTAGGTATCTAGCACACAGAAAGTTTATTCACAGTTTACTTTGAGGAATGTTATGTGTAACTGAGTAGAAGTAACACAAGCTTACAAAAAAGACAATCAACATATTTAACAGGGAATTAAAGCATGAGATCTTTCCTGATCAGTGTCAAGCTCACTATTATAAACTGATATAAGTTAACATTTTCCAACATTGAATAGATATTTACATATTATGTTTCCTTGGTTTTTGTTGCACTCTCTCTATATATGCAATTCTTTGCTCACCATTACCCTTAAGGCTCTCACCTAAACTCATGTGTTTTCATGTGGTATTGCTGTGCTGTATCATGCAAATAAGCATGCAACAAGCCTCCACCAATAAGAGTGCAACACACCCACCTAGTGCAGCTGACTCCCTCTATATTTATTGGACAATCATCACCCTCAAGATTAGGCAAGAAAATATGCACTAGAAGTGAGGAGGACAGGTTTCAGTGTTGGAAAATGTTAATTTCTTATATGAAAACTTACCTCTTCACACACACAGATATTAGTTAGAATCCCACATTGAAAGCTACCTAGATGAGTCTCCTTTGGAAAATGACTGAAGAGAACCCATGGAGTGTGATGCCCTATACCATGAAAGTATATGGGTACACCTGTGGAAACTACATCCCTTCTGTACCAAGGTATGTTCTTCACCCATAGTACAAGAAACAAGTCCAGAAACACAGTATAGAAAATGGACATACCTTATGGTACAGTGTGGCTATGGCACATCAGACCATATGTGGCAGGTCAACTCCAGTCCAAAACCAAATATTTTCCACCTGGTCCTTGGTAGGTGAGTCCCAACCATCTTAACCTTCATACCAGGAAGCATCCTAGGTAGTGCTCATGTGTGCTGACCTCGTACACATCCAACACCAGGCCACTCAAGAACCACAGGATGGGGAAAAGCAAATGTGGTGGGTCAACTCCTGTCCAAAAACAGGCAGTATCTGGAATTTTTCATCTGGTCTATCATAGGAGGAGGAATCAGATGACATCAGAAAATTTTCATCTATACCGAACACCAATGCCCTACTCTCTACCGAGTGGAATTGGCCACACTCAGGAAGAAGCTTCCATGGTCCACCATCCCAATGGTTAGGAACTGGCGAGTGGCAAGGGATCCTCTTCTTCACTAAAGAAAGGAGTAAAAGTGCATTGGAGAGCCTCAGGGGAAATGCAACTCCTTAAGACTGTGCAATAAATGACCATGAAACCCTATTTTTAAAAGCAAGCCAGCAACTAGGACTGGAGGGATGGGCAGCTATCCTGACACTGCTTTACTCATGATAACCTAGGAGTAGGTATGGTATGCATTAGGTCTTGTTTATTAAATAATATACACCACGATGAAACCTCTAGCAGTCTTGTTGAACACCCCATCTCATCAGTGTTACAGACCCAATTGACCATAGGATGCGGATTTAAATTAAAGTATTGCCCGGCAGGCACTATATGCCCCTCAGCAGGGGCATTGAGAGCCAGCCCAGGCCCTTGGGTCAGTAATATCATCACCCACCCCTTTCATTCTATTTATTAACTTTTGTTGATTTTTAATAAAAGAAATTTAGGTGCCAAATTTCTTCATGAATCCATGAAAAAGCAATAGCCATTTTAACTCATTAACATTTTCAGCATGGGGTCGGTCCCTGGGACTGACTTCATAACCATTTTGTGCTTGTTATAGTTTTTATGCTGTAACTTTTAAATTAGTAAGTGAATGTTAATGAAATTTGGAAGATTATCAGTAAACATTACAATGCTTTCACATCTAATTTTTTATTAAGTCTTAGGCTTTGTAAATCAACGTTTTTGTCATGCCTTTTTTATAACATTTTGCTTATTTGTCATGCAAAATAATTTTCATTTTAAGATTAAAAATACTTTTATGCATCAGAAAATTTTCAAATTTCACATGCAAAATCTTTATAATATCCGGATAGTTATAAAACATTTCTTAAAAAAAGAATTATATTTTATCTGTTATTTTCAGTAATTAATCTCTATACGGGTTCAGTAGATTTAATCGATCTCGCAATCACCATAAAAAATTACGAAATAAACATAAGTTACTGCTCTTTCATTCTAGAATGAACACAAATTATAACATGAAAACATAAATGTTTAGACAAAATAACTTAAATCTCATAACATTATACATTTATATATATTTAGTATTTTTATTATATTTACCTTTCACCCATGCTTGGCTAACAATACAGAAGTTACAATGATGCGGCTCACATGCACTCATGTTACCATATCAAACAACATAAAACTGACTTTTGGTCTGTGCAAAGTAACTTGTCTTGGCTGAGTTCTAGTACACTAGTATTTTGTAAAAGTCACATTTCAATTATTATATATTATATATGTATATAGATTATTACTGTTTTGAAATAAGTTCTTAAAGTTATTTTTTCTAAACACAGAACAGTAAATAAAGAAGTAAAGCAAACAATTATCTCTTCTTCTTATGACCTTTGTACTCAGTTGCTGCTTTATGTAGGTTGCTAAGCCTTTAAAAATCTTGCACGTGGAGGATATGAAACAAAATATTTTTTTTAGGTTTTTATATATACTGTTATGAAAGCAGAAGTCACGTGACGCTGGTAACACGTGATGAGTTTCTAGAAGGATCATGAAGGCTCAAGTTTGCCAGACACTCTCTATTTTTGTATATATAAGCCCGGCAATTATCAGCATATTGAAGAGAGCTATAGAGACAGATAATTGAGTCAAGTGAGTGGTAGTGACCGT